CTGCCCAAAATCACTCGCCCTCCTCCTGACAGGCTGCAGCTCACCCATGATCTTGGCAGCAGTGGAGGCCCCAACAATGATGGAGAGGTTGGGGGCAATGAAGGACATGCGAGACTCCACATACTCATAGATGCGGTGCTTAGACTGGTTGAGCTCCAGGGCCATATCACAGGCCTCCTCAATGCGCTCCAGCTCCTCCTCCGTCAGCTGCTGCCTACAGGGAAGAAGGATAAGAAATGTTGATCCTGCCATGCTCCCCACACCCAGGAGACCTGTGGCACAGTGAGGGGCCCAGACTTGGCAGAGATGCACAGAGTCCTCACTGGACCAAATAACAGCACCCAAGAACCCTGCCCCACTACAACCTGCTGGGATCAAAGGCAGCCATGCAAAAGTTGTTAAACCCAGAGAAGTCTGCAGAGACATACACTTTGCTCCCCAACTCATCACAAAGCAGCCCCTAGCATCCCCAAGCCAAAGGCCTCCAAAAAGCTAAGATGGGCCTCAAAGAGAGAGCAGGACAGAAGAGTCGACACTCATGGCAGAGGCTTAATTCAATAAAATGTACCACAGAAAGAGGAGCAAGGGAAGGGACACAGCACAGCCAGCATCCCCCCTTGACATCTACTAAAAGGAGGGAGGGACACAAGTCACATACCCTTGAGTGGTAGAGGCGGTGACACTCACCACCATGATGGTGGCATTGGTCAGGATCTGCTGGACGTTCTCATTGTTCTTGCACTTGTCCAGGCTGTTTCCCAGTTCCTGCAAGGAGACAGGACACGCACCCAAGGTGACAGGTTAGTCACCTGAGCCACAATGACACTCTTCCTACTCCACTGTCATCCAGCTTGGGTTTGGCACCCCCCTGCAGGGCTCACAGACTACTACTTCCCGGAGTACACCATTCACCATCCCCAACCACCACCTCCACATCCTGACAGCAATCGTCCTCCTCCAGCTGTGTACCCACAATAGCTTTTCCCCTCCACCAGACCTCAAGACACCTCCCACCCCAATTGGATTGACTACTGCTTGCCTTCCTTCCCCACCTCTGAGATAATCAGCCAGGGGGTAGGAATGACACCACAGCCTCAGAGGCACAAGTCATGTTCAAGGCATTTCCTAGACATCTGTCATCTCTACTAGCTGCCCTCCCTTTAGGGTTATCATCCTCATTGTGCACAGATAAGGAATACAACCAGAAAAACCAGCATCATAATTCTCCTCTAGAGCCAAGGATGGAACTCAGGAGTCCTGGCTCCCAGTCCCCACCCTGCTCTGAATTCACCAGAACCCAGTACCCTACCAGACTTGGGAACAGAAGCCAGGAGTCCTAGCTCCTCTCTGCCTACTCAAGGCCTCTCTCCTTACTCAGTCCCTCAAGCCAAACTAAATGTCAATAGGAGCACTGGCAAGTGTCAATGGTACCTTGACAGTCCGGATGTAATCCAGGGCATTGGGAACCAGGGATTCCAGCTCTGGGAACCTCTTGGAGTATTTATCTCGAATGAACTTGTGGATAATGTCTGGGGACAAAAGGCACAGCCTCTTAGTAGCGCTGGTAGGTTGGAATTGGAGAGCAGAGAATACCTCTTCAAATAACTCAGGATGCCAGCACAGAAGCCACCAGGACCTGATAAAACCTGCTCAACCAGCCTTACATGCACAGGGGAGGCAGCACTATTAAAACACTGCAAGAAACAGCTTTCCAGTAGAAAAAGCTGGTTTGTCACAGTTGTGACAAGGGGGAGCAGGACAGCATTTAAGACATTAAATAGAAAAGCATCAAAATGAGCTGTCTTCACATTCCACTTTAAACTGTACAATGCACCAAAATGTTAAATTAAAATGAAATAGTATATGCAGGCATCTCGAGTTACCCTGATAGGCACAATGGGTCTGTTTATATAATTTCATCTAACTTATAAGCATAATTAACTTGCATGTTAACATTAACCTTGACATGTATATTGAAATTATTTTATGAAAACTAAAGCTCATTTTAAAAATGACATTATATTAAGAAATTTATGTTTGTATTTCAACCTGATGGTATCATTCACACATTTATTATTACAATTCCATGAGAATGCTTTTGACATAACTAGGTTAACATAGATGTTTAATTTGGGGACCATTAAGTTTAGTCAGTAGGGTACCTGGCTAAAGACTGGAAGGACCTGGGTAGAATCCCAGGCGAGGGCAGTGGTTTTCTACTCACTGTCTCCACTTCTATCCCAGCTCTGAGGCCCACCCAGTCTCCTATTGAATGGGTACCAGGAGCTAAGTCACATGAAAAACAGTAGAGCCCTACCTCCACTGCCCCAACACCCTGTAAACTAGATATCTTTACACATTTAACATTGATATACTTAACAAGCTAGTGTTAGTCTTCATAAAAGTAAAGAACTTTAGTATAGTTAATGTGCATTAATGTTCCCATCTTAGAACATTTAATGCAACACTCTCACATGCTAGATTTTGATAGTTTATCTTTACAGATGAGAGAAAACATTAATATAGCATTGCATAAGTCGGGTAATAACTTTTGGATGTTCAAGACAATCAAACAGCCCTGAATTCAAAAGATTTGAGCTTTCAAAAATGGTCCAAACTCAGAACAGAAACAAATGCCGGGAAGCCTCAGTGCTTCATGGCTGGGTGGAGGGTGGAACAGTGCCAGGTGAATTGCAGCATCCTCATGCCACATATTAGGCAGAGCACAAAGACACGCACGTTATCTGTGCAGGGAAGACACTGGTGGAGCTGATCCTCCTTAACAGTGCCACAAGCAGCAGCACAGATTCCCCTTGTGGGGAGACTAACAGTAAAGAGGGTAGAGAAAAGCACCTCTCTCTCTGGGATCAGCACAGGTGGTACCGCATTCTACCCCCCCACCCCACCCCGGTGTGGGGGAAAACCAGGTCATCACACAGAAGGGCACAAAGAGTAGGAACTGCTTTCCAAACAGCAAGTGCTGGGGAGAACAGGGTCTACATACTGAATTTAGGCAGAAGAGGTTGTATGCCAGGCCCCAAGGCAGAGGGAAGGAATGAGCCAGCACTAGGGCTTTCTTAGCTGACACCAAGGATCACATGGAGCCAGATCCAGAAGTCCAAAGCTGAAGCAGAGACAAAAGTCCTACCCTCCACCCAGCCAAACTTCTGGAAAATGATACTATGGCATAGACAAGACAGAGAAAATGGGAGACACCCTTCTACCCCAAGCGGGGTAGCCCATTCTCCACCTTCATCCTTCTGGAAAAGACATTTCCCCCCAAAGTCCCTGTCAAACAAATGCCCAGCCCAAGGAGGACACTCACTCAGTTCATTCTCAATCTCCACCGTTAGGTTGTTAGCATCAACGATGACTCTGTACTCTGGAGCTGCCTCCACTGGCCCCATCACTGACGGGAGAATGAGAACAAGGACAGCTGTCAGCTGGCTGGCTGCAATGCTGCCAGGGGACACTGTGCTGCAGACAGCATATGGGTCGCTTGGTAGCTGGCACTGCCCCAGCACTAAGGGGCACTGTTACAGGTAGCATAGCAGCGGTTCAAAGAGAGCTCCAGACTGCCAGGAAAGAGCTTAACAGGGGGCATTTGGGAAAGGCAGGTGAGGGCACTGGGCACAGCAGGCAGCATTATGGCTCATCAGTGCTGGCCCCCCACACCCCAGCAGGAGGGGGTGCTGTGCTATACGGCAGAGAGCACTTCAAAGCTCAGGAAGGGGCACTCTCCCCTTGCAGTTAACAGGGACCTCCGATACCCCAACCAAGCATATGAAGGAGACTGTGCTGCAGGGAGCAGACTAAGGGACTCAAGGGACATGAGTCCCTTACCATCCCCAGTGTCCTGAAGTGGCTCTAGAAAAGCACTGTGCTGCAGGACGTTGTGTCTTTATAGTAAGAGAAAGAAGCTACAGCATATCACGTGTACACCTACACACGTGCACACATGCTCACATGGTACCTTCTGTAGCTTTGGGTTGTTTGCTGATGTACTCTTCAATCTTCTGCATGATCTCTGCAAACTGGGGAAAGGACACACAGAACCATTCTTTGTGCCTGGAGAAAAATGGATTCAACAGGACGACAGGAGAGCAGGCATCTGTCCTAGCTCACGACTAGCGCGGGACCTACGGTCCCAAGCTGCCAAAGAAGGGAACAGCCTAGCATCTCGCTCCTGTCTTCCAGGTTGAAGTCAGCCAGTCTGTTCATCCTGCAGCTGGCACCCACTCATCAGGAAGGACCCTACACCCCAAGCCCCAAGCCAACTGCTCCCCCAAGCCTGGGCCCAAACTAGAGGCAGGAAGGGAATGACCAATCTCACCATCTTGCTGTCCCAGAGCTTGGCGATGCTCTTGACCGAGTCCACCGTGAGGTCCAGCTGCATCTCCTCCTGCACATCCTCGATGGCCGGCTCATCCTCCTCATCCACAAAGTTCTCCTCCTCTTCCTCAGCCGCCTCCTCCAGATCTGCCAGCAGCTCATCCGCCAGAGACATCCTGCCGGCCTAGGCTGGGTAGGGGCGGCCGTGGGTGTCCCACAAAGGACGACTCCCGCCTGCGACCCCCGACCACCCGCTGCCCAGTCCCTGCCCAAGCCCCCAGGCGCGGGCGACCCCGCAGGCAGACGGGGGAGGGGAGAGGCCCCGCGCTACCTACACCGCTCCGATCCCAGTGCTCCCAGCGCCGATCCCCACTACTCACCTGTCACTTCCTCCAAGACCCGTGTTAATGGTGCGACAGCCAATCAGTCATCAGTGTGCGCCCCCAAATAACCCTCCTGTGATGTCATCGGTGTGCGCTCCCGTCCCTTGACCCCCTTGCGTCATCAGTACGTACCCATTCCCCTAGCTCATACGTTATCAGCGCGCGCCTAACCCGACCAGCGCGTACCCAACCAACACTCCCCGCCTGCATCATTAGTGCGCGCCCACCCTCTAACAACCCCCCCCCTTGCATTTTCACTACGCACCGCCCCTCATACGCCACGTGCGCCATCAGTTCGCGCCTGGTCCGCCTGCCCCTTCGTGTCATCAGCGGGCGCCCGCCTCCCGCCCCGACGCACCATGGCCGGGGTTGGTTTCGAGGAATTCTCGGCACCGCCGGGCTCGGAGCTGGCGCTTCCGCCGCTCTTCGGAGGCAACATCCTGGAGAGCGAGCTGGAGACCGAGGTGGAGTTCGTGGACGGTGGCCTGAGCGGGGACGCGCTGCCCGAGGACGAGGAGGAGGAGGCACTGCAGCGGCAGCGGCAGCTGGGTC